TAATTTCTTATTTTAACAAGAGATGTAACTTTAAATTTGTTCAGAACAAGAAAACATAAGGTCTTAATATTATTTATCTAAAAGAAAATTATAAGGGCCTTTATAATTAAATGGAAAGTCGGTTGTGTGATTGTGTCAAGAAGCGTGCATGTATTATGATGGAGATGGAGCAAATTATCAGTTGTATGACTCTTTGTACATGAAGTATAAGTGGACTCTAATTACCGAAATCTCCAGAGACTTGAGAATGTACATGCATCGGATGATTCCTGAAGTTGAGAGTTCGGAGACAAGCTGATGGATTTTCTTCAACTTGTGTCAAGGGGATTCAATATTTCATATTCAACCAGAAAATCTCATTTTTACGCTTTTTGAATTGAACGACTTACTGATGAACGGGGATTCAATTGTACCCCCTTGGCTCTTCATAGTTCTTCCCTTGTGCACCACGAAGATTAATTCATTCTTTTCTCGTCATGTGTGGAGATGACAATGTTTGTGCTAATCTTTACATCAGTATCATGTTACTTTGTTTTCCAATATTATTATTATCCCATTGTGGTTTTTCCTGGAGCAAACATGTATTTGCCACTTATTTCTATTTCTAGACATCTATTGCTTCGTATTTATTGATTAATGCATTTAGAAATTCTCTACCTTGGTGTCTATCAGGTAGCTATCTTCAGCTGTTATGTTTGCTTTTCTCCTTTATTTTGGGTGGGGGGGAGATGCATGAACCGGGGTAATATATATTTCATTCCTGCTTGGTATTCGTTGAAGAGATCAGCCATTTGTCCTCTAGAAATGTCTCAAAACCTCAATCAGTGCCCCTTTGAAATGCGAAATGTGGAGAAATCCATCACGTTGTTTACTTTGATAGAACTTTGAAAAAACCTACAAGAAACTGAACTCGTTTCTATGGCAGAAATTTCTAGAGCCAAGACATTCCGAAGGCAGTCAACTTTTGTCAGAGTTCACACATCAAGTCCACTTGCCAGAAACCATTTCCTTGTTTGGGTGGTTAGTTCTTATATTGTTCTTACTAGATACTGATTTCCCTAGCCCTCACATAATTTATTCATCCAAAGTAAATAAAGTATTTGCTTTTTAATAGTTATGCTCTTAGATGAGATGGTTCCCATAATTACTCGTATCGACTTGCACTTTATTTTCCCTTTCACAATTGGTTTGAGTATAATGTGTGTGTATTTCTATCATCAAATTTTGCAGACCTGTTTCTTCCGGCAGTTTGGCCGCACAGTTGTTCGTGCTGATTACCTTACTCTGCGCAAGGGTTTTATCATGGTATGGATCCAATCATGGACCACTTCCCTTCAATTCGCTTCTTGCATTTTGAAAGAACTAATCTCTTGCAAAACATTAAGGAAAATATTTGAATGCTTTTGAAGGCAGTACTGTGGAGTATCTTAGAAGTTAAAAAGTAGTTAGGATGTGAAATTTGTTAGTTTAGTTTTAAGGAAATTACTACGTCACAAAAAGACATCATCTGATTAGAAGCAGCTCATATCACAGTTTGACAAACAACAATCTTGAAATATACAATCATGATAAAAGTACAACTGATGCACATTATGAAGAATGGAACACTGTCTTTCAAAACTAGACATGAAACTAAGCCTGTGTTAGTTTATCGAAAAGATTAGGACGCTATGTTGCAAGCCCGGTTCATTTTGAACTCTAGTTTAGGGATCATTTTAAGTTATATTCATGTTTGCATCACTGATTTTCTTTTCCATCACAAGAGTGTCTATATATGATACAGATTTCTGTTATAGATTACTAGTTACGACCTTTCTCCTCTTATTCGTGGCAGAATCACAACCTTACATCAAACTATGATTTTCACAGCTATATGATTCGCTCGATGGAAGAAGAATTCCAAAGAATAGTTGGTGTAAGGTAAGAATAAAAGTACTCCTTCCCCATTTTCATCCTCTTCTTTGAGTAGGCAGAGAGTTAAAAGTTGTTTAAAGAGAATTAGGCCAAATGTGGAGAGAAATTCATTTGATTTAGTTCTAAGATTTGATGAAGAAGTGAATCTCATCTAATTGTTGTGTTAGCATTAAGCCCAAGTAATGTTTTCTCCAGTTCATTTGGTCCTTAATCTTTGCAAAAATTTTGAGGGAGTACATTGAATCGGTTAGTAAGCTCCTGATGGAATGAGTAATGAATTTAGGAATTTTTGTTTCTAGTTGTTTCTCCATTTACGGTGGTTCATGTATCATCTTTTGTTCAGTGCACCCTGTCCATATAAATGATCATTGGATAGCACAATAGTCGTGGAGAACACTAGAGTAGATCAATTTTACTTTGAAGTCTGTTACTACAACAGTTCTTACTTGCTTTCCATCATTTGTTTCTTGATTGAACCTTCCTCTCATAACTTTTGTGTTGTATCTTTGCAGTGGCCCTTTGTGGGGATTTGTGGTGGGATTTATGCTGTTTAACGTAAAAGGTAATTCAGCCTTCATTGTTTGAGATGAGCAACATAAGCCACTTTTGTTTTTTATCATTAGATAAGTTTGCATATTTCCGCTCCCCGACATTTGTGTTCTGGTGAAAATAAACTCCATCCACAAGCTTATGCATGACCAATTGAACTTTAACATGCAGGATCGAATCTGTATTTCTGGATAGCGTTAATCCCTATCATTGTAAGTGCTTCCATTGCAATTATGTTTTGAAACTCTTCATAAATGCATGAACATATACTCTTACGTATATAAAGCGATGCCTATTTCCCTTTCTCTTTATTCCTTACCGTGTTGTGTTAGACTTGACTGTGACCCTGCATGAGTCATCTTTCTTAATATTTACCTCTTCCCTTGCATTCTGAATAATCTTATATATTATATGAACTTATGGATGTGATAGAAGATATAATTAGTCGTTTACTTGTGCTTCCGTGCAGCTAGTACTACTCGTGGGTACAAAACTGCAGCATGTGATCGCAACCTTGGCATTGGAGAGTGCTGGAATTACTGGCTCATTCTCAAGGGTCAAGCTAAAACCACGAGACGAACTTTTTTGGTTCAAAAAACCAGAATTACTTTTGTCCTTGATTCATTTTGTCCTTTTCCAGGTTTGTTTGTACAATCATACTTCATTTTTCATTTGTTTCGTCTATCTATTAACTTTCTTTAATGTCTATATACACTAACTTGTTTTTGCATAACTCTTGCAGAATGCATTTGAGCTAGCTTCATTTTTTTGGTTCTGGGTATTCACTGCTCCCTTTCTCGTAGCTTAAAAATTTTTTTCCTACCAAACATTTAATACCTAGTCAAAGCATATCCTTTTAACTGCATTAAACATTTGCAATCTCTAGTATTCGACATTGGCACATTCCCTGAAATATCTGAGTTTTTGATGACGTTACGTCTTTATTCCAGTGGCAATTTGGGTATAACTCATGCTTCATAAAGAACCACACACTTGTGTATCTACGACTCATTATGGGGTATGTGTAATTACAAACTGTATTTGTATGTATTGCTTAAGGTTTCAGATTTACCAACACATATTTATTAAGCACAACGGTCTAAACCTATGCTGTTGTTCGTCACCCAGGTTTGCTGGACAATTCCTTTGCAGTTATAGCACCTTGCCACTCTATGCCCTGGTTACACAGGTATTATGTCACGACGGATATAGCTAAATTGAGAAGTCAGAATAGTATGATCCTCTTGTTAACGTTCGACTTTGTACACCATTACCTCTCTGGCCTTCTACAATATTCTCATAACCACCTTAAGGTTATGGATGACATGTCTCAAATTTTCTAGTTCCGTCTCCCTTTCTTTTTCCGCTTCTTGCTCATGACAAGGAAATACTAATAGATGGGAGACAGTAGAGACTGGAGTAGGTGAGGTAAATGAGCACGATGGCGTACGGGAAAGGGAAGACGCTCTACTCTTAAATGTGGTTTACTTTAAAACGTCAACGATATGTCCAGAGACTATAATATCTTCTTGATCATCGTTGAAATGTTAAACTTTACGAACTACTTCAACTGTGCTAGTAACTCTGCATGTTGCACTTCCACAGTAAACTCGTGAATCGGACTATTAGATGAGATTGTAGATATTTCCAAGAACAAAGCTTTGAACATATTATACTTGCCTCTTTGCAGATGGGTACAAACTATAAGGCTGCACTGATTCCACAGAGAATAAGAGAAACGATCCACGGATGGGGAAAGGCAGCAAGAAGAAAAAGGAGGATGCGTATGTTCCCAGACGATTCAACTGTCCACACTGATACAAGCACCGTAATGTCACTCGAGGAATATGATAATGACCAGTTGGTTGATAGCCCTCGAACAGTGCATGGTGCAGGTACAGAAATTGAGTTGCAGCCACCACCAACTGTCACGGAGGATCATCATCATTCAGTAACAATTAACGACACTTCAAGTCGTATTGGTACTCCTCTCCTTCGTCCCTGTGCTTCTATTTCTTCCGCAACTTCTCCAACTCTTCCACCTGAAGTAATATCAAGATCATCTTCAATGCCTGCTAGAGGACATTTGAATTTGGATAAACAATAACCATTATAGTGAAATAACAGAACAACACGAAGTGAAGTTGGTGTTGATACTTCTGCAGGTTTGTTTTAACGTTGCATATAACATATATACTTGAAGATGTTTGACATGTAAAATTCAAAGAAATATGCAGGTAGGAAAGAAATAGTTTCTGTAGTTACGTTGCAAAAATATTTGTCCAAAAAACGCTATGGATTGAAAAATCTATAATAACTGTTTCTCTATGTGTAATCAGTTACACACATGAGCTATCTAGGTAAGATAGAGCATCTTAAAGAAAGCTTGTATGTTTTCCTCGTCAAATAGTTAAAGAGTTTAACTAGTATACATCGACAGTTTGATGGATTATACACCATCAATGTACTTTAATATGTCGCAATAGATAACTTGTCTTGCTTTTCAGATTAGTAATTACAGAAATGAGCATGTCTAGTTCAGCAATGTCTTTTCATTTACGAATATCACAAGTACTTAATACATCAAAATAGTTTCCAGAGTACTGTCAAACGATAAGAAAAAGACCTCTAATGGAAACGTATAAGCATTATCACAAATCCCATAATATTCAACTTTTCTCACTGGCATCTATACTTGATCCTGCATCAGCCAGTGCTTCAGCCATCATTTTTGCTCTATTCTGAGTTTGTCTTTCCACAGCAACCATATAGAAACCTAACAAGCAAGATACAGATTTTGAACAGCATCAAGTATTCAAACAGAAAAGCTAAAAATAATTAAAGCACTCAGCAGAGATTTGTCCCAGTAACACATAAACCTTTCAAAAATCTTGGTGTATCATTAAACTATACATAAATTTTCATTTGTCAAAGAGAGTCATTGTGCATACTGAGAATGGAAGTAGATCATCTCAGAAATCCATACCATAGCACCCCTCAAAGCATTCTGGAACTAAAAGAACCTAAAAGTTGGCAGGTGAATCAAATTCTACAGTATCAAAGTAATAATATGATCAAACTTTGGTGACCTCTATAAAAGGTGAAGAGTTGATCCATTCGCCTAGCGGGTTATTGGTTCAGTGGTTATCCTACTTTTCAGTTAATCAATTGTAGTTCACACAAAGATAGTTGAGAATCAGTTATTCCAAATGTAAGAAAAATTTAAAACAAAGCTATAACATTGAACGAGTTCTCACTTAACCTGGAAGATCTCTATGTTTTAACTGGTAGAGATGTAGAGTTTCTCTACCTAGTAACTTTTTTGAAGCTCATTGGGTTTTTCCTATAAGCTCTTTCCCTATAGAGCAAACACCTTCAGAATTTAACAAACACTTAGTTGATAAACACCACAACATGCAATATCTTTTGGATGAATACGGTAAGCATTTGGCAGTCACTGGGTACTTCTAGCTTTGTGGTGGAGATTTCATATGCATAGTACCTAATTCGTTAATAGTTGACTTTCAGCCAGTCCAGTACATGCTAAAAATAACCATTGCTCGTTAGAGAGAAAAATCTCAAGAGAAAGTCAGAGAAGATCGATGGTATACCAATTGCACTTCCAATTGCACAGACCCATAAAAGCCTCCCTGACCATTTGTCAGCAACGATTCCTCTATTCCCAAATCCCATCAGCTAAGACTGGAGCAAAAAGAGCATGTATTAGAATGTGAATTTCTCACCATGAACTGATAAGTAAAGCTAACTTTAGCAAGGAAAACACATATTAGAATGTGAATTTCTCACCATGAACTGATAAGTAAAGTTCACTTTAGCAAGGAAAACACATATTAGAATGTGAATTTTTCACCAGCTCTAATTTATTTCATACTGTTCAATGTACCTGATGTACAACGAGACCTATCATTTTCGTATTTTCAAGTCTAGGAAATCCCTGGGATACATGTTTTCAATATTTTCTTGCTGTCTAAATTTGTTTTCTTTCCTCACTTTCTGCTCTAAAAGAGCAAACTGAAAAAAACTAATTACATTTTACCATATGGTCACACCATTTTGCAGAAAATAGCTTTGTAAAAGTACAGAATGCTCAACAAGGAAGAATCAGACGAGAGCAACCAACATAATTAAATGAAATCCAAACACTCATGTGTGAGAGAATGACACTGTCAAATTGTTCTTCAAGGGACCAACAGATCAGCAAAATCAATGAATGCTATTGAAAATGATTTCATCTACAGAACCTATTAATCAAAATTCAGGCATTCTGACATTCAGGCACTCAAGTTCTAGTTAAAGATGTCCATGAAATTCCATCACTAATACTTTGCCTGCTAAATTGAGGTAGTAAAGCAAACTAAATAATCCACCAATTCGATGATCACTGTGTTCACAACATCGTAACAACAACATACCCGGTGAAATTCCACGAGTAAAATCTGATATATCACTTAAGAACTAGTTTCCCACAGTAAAAGCTAAACATCTCAAGCTATTTCTGTTTCAATTCCTTCTCTAATTCTTCATGCCAGTTCTTACACTTTTTCATTTAGATCATAAAATCAGATCATTTTGCCAAAACATTAGGAATATAGTAACCACTTCATCTGTTTCACCTGAAGTGAAAATATAACTATAATTTTCATCGATAAGAGGCGGTGCTGTATTACACAAGGAACTACTACAAAAGAAATCAGAAATAAACTATTATACTTCAGAAAGAATTGATGCGTTAATGCATATTTTTAAGTTTCTGCGAGATTATTGATAAGAAAAGGAACAGGAGAAGGAAGAACAGAGAATCACCAGTAGAAATAAGCTGCCGCCGGTTGCCTGATATTCTACGCTTGGTTTTCGCCGGGATCGAGAGAGACAGAGATAGAGAAACCGGGTGGTAAGTGGCAAACGGGTAAGGGCTAAGAATTTGGGCTTGGGCTTGGCTTGGGCTTATGGGTAAATTCATTGGGCTCAAAAAAAGTTTTTTGAAAAAAAAACAAAAATTAATAGCGAGATAAACTCATTAATTTATGTTGGGCAACTTTCACATATAGCAAACAAAAAATTCATATTTGTATGCTATAGCAAACTTTGCATAATTGCGCTCCATAGCAAACATAAAAACTGTATAATTCGCTATACATATACAAGTGTATAATTCGCTGGCCTAAATTGTATAATTCGCTGGCCTATTTCGCTGCAATTGTATAATTAGCTTTGCATACAGTTGAATCGAATTAAAATGTATGTATATTGCATAATTATAAGTGTATAGCAAGAAGATATATGTTTTTCTCGCTTTATACAAAAACAGAAACACAATATATACACTTCTGTTGTATAAAGCTAGAAAAAATTGTATTTCACTGCAATTGTATAATTCACAATTGTATAATTCTTTGGACTTTTCTCTGCAATATTTGAAGTAAAATGTTTGTAAATTATATAATTAAGTGTTTAACACGAAGATATACATTTTTACATGTGTATATACAATTTTTTCTCGCTTTATACAAAACAGAAACAGAAATTATACACTTCTGTGTATAAAGCGAAAGAGGCGAGAATGGGAGAGTGACGAGCGAGACTTCTGGGAGAGAGAGGCCTGGCAAATTTTTGCCAACGTTTGCTATGGAGCACAATTAAATCAAACCCTAGCTATTCCATTTAATTTAGGTTATTAGTTTGCTATTATATACAATTTTCCCATTTATCCTGGTGATATAAATAGGGAAAATTTCATATATAGCAAACATAATTTATTAAATAACATTATATGGGTGTAGTTTACATAATTATATTTTATGGGTATAGTTTAGTTTGTTATGTATCTTTTAATTTGTATAAAGCATTTTTTTAAAAAAATATTTTAAAAGGAGGGATTATTTTCAAAACATAACAATGCTTGATATCAAAGTGTAGCAAAATACATGTTTTTTTGTGGCATAAAATATTTCTTTCTAACTGAAAATCGCGTAGATTTATTATCTGGTCATAACTACACGTACATATATGTATGTGTGTGTGACCAATTACTATATGTGTGGGCAATGAAGGCTAGAGTTTTTAAATATATAAATAAGTCTAGAAGTATTGTAAGTAGCATATGTGTGAAGTTCTATAATCTTGTCGTGTTCATGTGATGTTTTCAAAATAACACTATAAAGAGTTAGGTTAACATGATTATTATTACTTGTCGTTCAGCAAAATACTTTTCAAATTTACAATTTTAGTTTTGATTAAACCAATTCAATATATATATTAAAACATTATCAATTTTAAAAGAAAAAACATCAATATAAATAATCATCGAATCGCCTATTTATTGGCAAAAAAGAAACCGTCAAATCAAAAAGCCCACTTTGTCCTCTTGGACACTTTCGAGGGTCAAGCAAATGTGGGGACAATGATAATGTCTATGAACAGGAGAAAAACGCGTAAAAATGTGTTTTTTTAGATTCTTTAAAGTATATATTGAATTATTTTAAATAATAATTAAATTTATCGACTAAAAATCAATAAGGAACACCAATAATTATCTATTGAATTGAAATTTTCATATTCTAAGTAAAAAAATTTGACTTTCAAATTTTAATAACTATAATATTCTTGATAAAGTAGAAGTGAGCTCAGGAAGAAATGTAAGAATGAAAAAGTATGAATATTATCAATAATAATGCATTTAATTAAAGTACGCAAAATAATAATAATTAAAAAAAAAACTTATTTTGCGATATACCAAAAATGGAGACAAAAAATAAGCATCAGCTTGCTTAGAGGATATATCATACAATTTTATAATAAAATAGTTCAATATTTTAATTAATCACAATATTGATACTTTAAAACATATACGTGAACACAATCAAGCTTTTAAAAAATCAAACAAATAGCTTTTAAAATAAATAAATTACTCTTTTCGTTTCATTTTTCTATAAATAGTTAATCCATATTACTTGTCATTTCATAAAGTCAATGCATATATTGTTTCTTTTTTATTTTTGTAAGTTATTAGTCTTGAAAATAAATATTTGACCACTTTAGAAAAGATAACTAAATGATTCATGTTCATTGGTTAAATTAATTAATCAAAATAAATTGATTCATACTCACTTATTGAAAACTTGAGATCCAAAAAAAATTAAATAAGAATAAAAGAATAAAGTTACATTATTTCTTGATACGAGTATAAAGTATAAAGATGTTATATAAAATAAAACAGAGAATAGAATATCAAAAATAGTACAATAATATGCCTTTAGAAATATTTATTTAGCAGTTCTTTTGACCATTTTTTAAAAGTAAACTTTTCTTTTTAAAAGAAATTCTTATTTGATATCCAAAATCCACTAGCGAATTCTCTTTATTTGTACAACCTTGGAAATGGACTATTACCATTCTATTACTCCTTCACAAAATTGAGTTAAATAAATAAATACCAATTTTAGAATTATAATTTAAGTTATACATATAATATATATTTTTATTTTATTATTATATATTATTATAAGTGGAAAGCTCCAAAAGTAAAAAATTGAATTATCAGTTTTGCCTCTCTACTAAATTAAAATTTTTATAATTTTCATACATGTATTTAATCTTCTTATTCTCATTTCAAAATCTTGACCTTTTAAATTTCTCGTACAAATTTTAAAAAAATATAAATGACTAACTATTTCTTAAAGAAAATAAATTAAAGTAGATTCATGTATCTTTAAAGTTAAATTTCATCTCTATTTTTTTTTATATTTATTTTAATAGTATTTGACCTTTCAATTTTCCATATGTCTTTTCATGTTTCCGTAATTTTATTCTATAAATTTAACTTTGTCAAGAACAATTTTATTTATTATTCGTGCAAATCTTATGTGTAGAAACTCTAAAATTTATTTCACTCATTAAATTTTCTTTCTTTCATCTTCTAATAGTAATAGAAACTTCATCCTACATTCTTCATTTATATTTTAATATATAAAATTTCTTTGTTATTATTGGTTGTACATAATTTAATTTTCTTAATAATATTTATTCTGATCAATCTTTTCACATTCATTAAATACTATATAAAATGTATCATAAGGTGGGTTTGTCCGATTCTTTCATTTGTCTTTTTTTATTAGATTTTTCCTCCATAAAAAGTCACTTCAGATAAATCTATTCTAATATAATTGATTTAGCTATAAATATTAATCAACATTTTTTATATTATTGCTAAGCTAGCAGCATATTAACTTCTTTTAATATAATATCTATTTATGAAAAACTTCTATTGCAATAAAACTTAAATTTAGATATAAGTTAATTTATGCATGCCTTTGCATATTTAAACTATAAAATATGGACATAATCTATATTTGGAACACAGTTAACTATGTGGTTCGAGAAATAGTAAGCTCATAAGTTTAAAATAACTTCACATAAATAGTTTCTAAATTTCATATGAATAAACTTTTATATCTTATCTTAATAAATATGTACAAAGTTATTTTAAAGTGAATGAACATACCTTCTTTAAAATTAAATAATAATATCCAAATAATACCTTCCAAATACTTTAGTCAAATTCAGACTCGATAAAACTAAACAAGTGTTTAATGGATGTGATGGAATAATAACACTATTTATCTATATTTAATTAAAGGCTATCATATTCGAAATTAAAATTAAAATTCCATAGAGCAAACATACCAAACACACTTTGAGAATCCTGTCCATTTGCTTTAGGCACTTTTAGCATGACTCGATCGATTCATCATCAAATAATTACAAAATCCACTTTTAATTTGTCTCTCTCCTCACTCTTTCTTCTTTTCTCCTTCCTTCATAGTTCCTTCCTTCCTTCTCCGAAAAGCTAGCGGTTGAGTCTGAAGAGTGAACAATATATTGTTCGAATGGAGAGAGCCGATAAAAAACTTCATTAAAGCTACTTCGTTTGGCTCTCATTCTCTATCTATCATCGGCCGGCAAGTTTATACAGTAAGATTTCGTTTCTCTTTTCTGTTCAATGATCAATCACACTGTTTATTGTTTCGTTGGCTGAAAAATTTGGTTCGGTTTCTATCATTGAATGATCTCCAGAAGTGATTTTGTAATTCGTATGAACCGAATTGGATTTTGCATTGTTTAGCATTTGTAGAAGTATGAATTATTATTAGTTTTTGGATTGGTTGCTTTTTGATGTTTAAATTTCAAGCTGAGAATGTTCATCTGGATGTTATATTCGTTGATTGATTTTGTTTTGTGTGAGTGCATTGTTGTGTTAGTTGTAATTTTTGGTGTGGAAAGTGATGGAATGAAATGCCTGATTTTAATTTGTGACCTAGACGTTTAGTATTGTTTCATTTCATGAATATTGTTTAGGAGTTCGGCTCTTAAATCACAGTGATTTTCTTCTCTTTTTTTTTCGTTCATTGGAATAGACTGAGTTATAGTGTGTCAGCATCTTTTCAGGGGTGATAGTTGTATGCTTAATGTAATCTTCATTGATTTGAGGAAGAATATCAAATTTTGTTAATGTGCTTTCATGCTGCATCTGAATAGTTCTAAACTTTGGCATTACTAACGAGATTCGTTTGGCCGTGGATGATTAGAGAAGTGGATTAGTTTGTTTCAGTTGTAAATCATTTGTTCAGACCAAAGGATTTTACTTACACACGTGTATGGCAGTGTAAATACTGTATAGACTAGTTCTTTGATCGCTTATGTTAGTTAGATCTAAACAACCAGTTAGTAGGAGTTCTCAATTTTACTTATCAAAAAGTAGTATTTCTCCATTTTTACTATTGTTATTAGTTGCTTTTCTCCTGTCACAACTGTTGGTTCTCTGTACATTCTGTTATCCGTGAAATGTTGGATTCTCTTGTTGTTATGCCATCCAATCTCTGCCATTTTCCTTTATTTTGCGGTTTCTGCTATTCTACAAATTGTTAAAAAGCCTTTGATTAATAAGTGATGTTCTCAATATG